TAAAACAATAAATTATATAATTATTATATTATATTATATCATATTTAATCGTTTTAATTAACATTGAATTAAAATAAAACATGTTATTAATTAAAAAATAATTAGAATGTATATATAAATAATTTATAAAATAGTTAATAAATGTTGTAGTGGGGACCATTTTTGAAAGTGTAGATGAATTGCAGGTGTGTAGGTGGTAATTGCAAAAGCTGATGTGACACAGTTGAAAGTGTTATAGGTGAATTGCAGGTGTATGAAAGATAATTGTAAAAGCTGATGTAATACAATTGAAAGTGTAAATGGATTGCAGGGAAGTGGATGGTGTTATCTACCCAAATATTTTCTTGATTCGGATGATGAATATGAATACATAACATAATCTCATTTTGTATTCAAAAGTTTCATTCTTCCTAACCAACACCTCACTTCACCGCCATTTCTTTCATTCGTCCTCAACCATTAACCTCATGCTTACCCACCACATCAACCGCTTTCTCTCCATCCGATCCCCTAAAACCCTTCAATCACTCATAGAGTACCATGCTTACATTATTACTACAGGCCATCACTCAACTAACGTCTTCATTTCTTCAAAGCTCATTTCCCTCTATGCTTACCTCCATAAGCCTGCATCATCTAAACAAGTATTTGATTCTTTTAATGGTTATAGAGACGTTTTCCTTTGGAACTCTATCATCAAGGCTTACTTTTCTAATGGAATGTATCCACAATGTCTCGACTCTTATGCTTCCATGAGGGTTTTGACTACTCTTATGCCAAACCAGTTTACTGTTCCCATGGTTGTTTCCGCTTGCGCCGAGGTTGGGGATTTGGTTCATGGCATGATTGTACATGGCTTGGTGTTTAAAGTTGGTATGTTTGAAGGAAGTTCTGCCATTGGGTCTTCATTTGTGTATATGTATTCAAAATGTGGGCATGTGGACAGTGCACGACAGGTGTTTGATGAAATGTATCTGAGAGATGTGGTTGCTTGGACTTCCCTTGTTATCGGGTATGTGCAGAATGGTGAGAGCGCAAAAGGTTTGAGGTGTGTTTGTAAGATGTATAGAATATGTGGAGAGGATGCGAGGCCAAATTTTAGAACATTAGAAGGTGCCTTTCAAGCTTGTGGCAATTTGGAGGCGGTGTATGCAGGTAGATGCTTACATGGGGTAGTTGCAAAATCTGGACTGGGATGTTACACAGTTGTTCAATCTTCAATCTTGTCCATGTACTCGAAGTGTGGAACACTTGAGGAAGCTTATATGTCGTTTTGTGAAGTTCCTGTGAAAGATATCAAGTCCTGGACATCAATTATTGGTGTATATGGAAAATGGGGATGTATTACACGAAGTTTAGGAGGTTTTATGGAAATGCTTGTTGCTGGGATAGATCCTGACCCAATGGTTGTCAGTTGTTTGATATATGGTTTATCTAACTCTATCTGCATCTCTGCTGGAAAGACGTTTCATGGGTTTATGATTCGAAGACATTATCAGATGGTTCACAACGCATTGGTGTCAATGTACTGTAAGTTTGGACTGATAAGTTATGCAGAGAATGTATTTAATGGTGTGTGCATCCTTGAGGAAGAGGTTTGGAATGCGATGGTATGTGGCTATGGTAAAGTAAAATGTGGAGTGAAGTGTATTGATTTGTTTACAGAAATGCTACATCTAGGCATCAATCCTGATCCTTACAGTTTGGTATCAGTTATCTCTTCATGTTCACAAATGGGAGAGATGCATTTAGGGAGGTCTCTTCACACTTATGCTGTTAAGAGCTTGGTGAAAGAGCATACATCCGTGTTAAATTCTCTCATAGACATGTACAGTAACCTTGGTGAAGTGGCCATAGCAAGGAAGCTATTTTGTAGGACAAATAAGGATATTATCACTTGGAACACGATGATCTCTGCTTATACGCACTGTGGGAATTATGCCGAGGCCTTTTCCTTGTTCAATAAAATGGTATTAGAAGGCACTAAACCTACCACAACAACCATAATTAGCATGCTTTCTGCTTGTGCCCATATGGCATCATTTGAGAAAGGAGAGCAGATACACAAGTACATCGATCAGGAAATGCTTTCCTCGAACTTGACCCTTGCTACTGCATTAGTTGACATGTATGCGAAGTGTGGGCAGCTTGAAAAATCCAAAAACATATTCAACAAAATGACAAAAAGGGATATTATTTCTTGGAATGTGATGATCTCTGGTTATGGGATGCATGGAGACGCCCAATCAGCAATAGATACTTTCCAACAAATGGAGCAATCAAATGCTAAACCAAATGAGCTCACTTTTCTTGCAGTTCTTTCAGCATGCAGCCATGCAGGGCTTGTTGATGAAGGAAAATCTTTATTTGGTAGAATGGGAGATTACTCTCTGAAACCCACACTCAAACACTATGCTTGCATGGTAAATCTTCTTGGTAGGTCAGGTTATCTGCTCGAGGCAGAAAATTTGGTTTTGTCAATGCCAATAGTTCCAGACGGGGGTCTGTGGGGCGCTTTGCTAAGTGCTTGCAAAACCCACAACAATCCTGAAATGGGTATCAGGATAGCAAAGCGTGCTATTGAATGTGACCCAGAAAATGATGGATACTATGTAATTGTTTCAAACTTGTATGATTCCATAGGCATGTGGGAGGAGGCTGAATGGATGAGAAACTTGATGAAGGAAAGGGGAGTGGAAAAGGCTGTTGGTTGGAGTGCAGTGTGATGGTAATCCATTTGCAAGGTGTGATCTCTGTGATTAGATCCACACCTTGCTAAAAAAATTGTTTATAGACCATTGGATTACAGGTACTCTAACTATAAACAATTTTTTTTAGTAAGGTGTGGATCTAATCACAGTAATGGTGCGGAATTTCATTCAATCTAAAAAATACGTTAAGCTTTCATGCCCATGCATTACAGGTACTCTATCTTATACACCATTGGGCATCCTCATTCATAAAGACTTGTAGTACGTAAATGCTAATAATTTTCTTGTTTTATGCGGCAGTTGAGCGTGTCAATATCATGACTGCATGATGATAAAATATTATCATCTCTTGGACTCAAGTGGGATGTCAATAGAAACAACATCAATCAGCAAAGCAGGCACCTCAAAACTTTTTCTTCTCTTAATGTTATCAGAAGTTCTTCCTACTTCTTGCTTATCGCTAGACTGTGTTAAATGAACGGGTAGCGACACGAATGAGTAATATGAAAGACAAGGTAAAAACTCTTAACAGCAACCTACTAAGCATTAAGTATTACTCGTTAATATATAAACTATTAAAATCTCTTAATTACAATTAAATAAGCATGATTTTTGCAAATTGATAATACTTAAACTCTTCCCTCAAGGTTGTTTCAGACGGCAATTCATGCTCTGAAAGTGCCATTTCTTCTTCAAGAGTGATTCATGCTCTCAAGGTGTGTTTCCCGCTCCCAAGGTACCATTCACGCTCATTCCATCTTCTACCCTTCTTGTTATTTGAATCTATTGTTGCTTGAGTTGAAATCGAGAAAACTGTCAAGAAGCTGGTGTTTTTCACGATTCGTGTGTACCCTTTGATTGTTTATTGATTTGGGGTGATATATCTGTTTGCTTTTTTCAGAATTAGGGAGTCGAATGGCAATGATTAATTTATCAAAATTTCTCAATAAAGTTTATTTTTTATGTCAAAAAGTGGATCTAATTATTGTTCTAGAAAGTCTGATGATATATGCGATGATGTTTGTGATGAGGTAAGTTAATCAATTTATAAATTCGTGATTTGCTGAGGGCATTGTGGGTTGAGGTTTTATTTACTGTTTCTGCATTTTTTGATTTTGTTTCTTATGGAAGTGAACAAGTTCAAAAACAAATTCGTATTAGTCCGGTTTTGTTGTGTGGGATTGAGTTCTCTTTTTTGTACTTATTGGACAATTAAGTGTGATATATATATATATATATATATAGTTATATTAGAGGGTCCAGAGTGTAAATGTATCTCTTATATATATATATATATCCCTGATTGTAATCGTGATTACATATACAGTACACAAAATTACCAAGTTTATCTTGGTATCAGAGCCGGCCCTAGACACCCTAGACTGCCGACCACCCTCTCCCATCACAAGGCAACCCTAAAGCTACCGCACCCGTTTTCTACCCTATGGCTGCCACAACTGCGACCTTACAGCTGCCGCCCTACAGTTGCCGACACCCTCTGCCATCACAAGGCAACCCTAAAGCTACCGCACCCGTCTTCTACCCTACGGCTGCCGTACCTTCTGTCCAATGACAATTGTTGCAGCTTTCACTCCAACCGAGAAAACCACCCATAACTCCCACAAGTTTGGTTTCACTTTATCACCAAACAACTATGGCTATTGGAAGACAATGGTTCAAACGTTCCTTGTTACAAACAACCTGTTCGGCTGTGTTGATGGCACCATTTCCTGTCCACCGATGACTATCTCATCATCATCATCTGGAAAAGATGTCGACGGCACCACAGTGCCGCCACCACAACCGAATCCTAACTACACAACATGGGTTTCCGATGATGCACACGTACGAATGTTGATTATTTCTACAATCTCTGAGGCGTCGTTCCAACACGTTCAAGGACTTACCTCCCGTGATCTTTGGCCGTCTCTTGAACGTGCTTATGCTCCTCACACATCATCTAGGGAATACACCCTAAAAACTCAGCTTCTTAAACTAGAGATGAAGCCTGCTGAAACCTCCTCCGCATACCTGACTAGGGCTCAGGAATATGCTGATGCTCTCGCCAATATAGGCGAACCAATGAAAGAAAAAGATTTTGTGATGCTGGTTATCTCGGGTCTTAGAGAAGAATACAACGGGATGAAGTCAACACTCCTTGGTCGCCAATTCCCAACTGCCTTTGCAGAACTTCATGGCCTTCTATTAGACCATGACTACATGATCAAGAAATCTACAACTGACATCTCTCCACCTCAAGCATTCACAACTGTCATGAACAACCGCAACTCAGCGGTTCCTGGTGCCACCTCGTCTACTCCTCAACCGGATCAACTTCAAGCTATTCAGCATCTTCTGTCACAACTTGGTCTTCAAGTTTAGCCTATTAATGCACAACCTGCACACAAGCCTTTTACACCAACAGATCTGGGAATAACCGTGGCCGTGGACGTGATTCTAGACGCGGACGAGGAAACTACAACAACAGAAGTCAAGGAGGAGGTAACTGTAATCAATTTAGTTGGGCTTCTAATCAAAACACTGTTTTTGGCACATGCAACAGGTGTGGGATTGGTCATATCCGGTCTCATTGCCCCAATCGCGACTCTGCTCCTATGAGGACGAGACAACCACCTTCTGCCAACTTTACATATTACCGGTCACAAGCTTGGCTTCCGGATACTGGCTCTAGCCATCATGTTGCACCTCACCTATCTAGCTTCGATAACTCTGAGGCCTACTACGGTGAGGACAACCTTCACGTTGGCAATGGTAAGGGTTTACCCATTCTACACATTGGTTCCTCACAATTTTATTAACCAAACAAAACCTTTTCCCTTAAAGACATACTACACGTACCTGACATAAAACAAAACTTACTTTATGTTATCAAAACTTCAAAATTTCTGTTTTGATAACCATGTGTACTTTGAATTTCACTCTTCTTCTTTGTTGTGAAAGACAAGTTCACACACACTATCCTCCTTACGGGTCCAAGTAATGGTGGTCCCTACTCCTTCCGTCCTCCTCAGCCTCAACCTATTCAGAAAATGTCGTTTTCTACCGCACATGCCTCTTCTCCCACATGGCATAAAGACTTGGACATAGGGGTGAGCAGCGGAACCGGGTACCCGGTTATAGAACCGGAACCGCCGTTTCCGGAACCGGAACCGATATGAGTGGTTCTGGTTCCGGTTCCTAAAATACGGAACCGATTGATAATGGTTCCGGTTCCGGTTCTCAATTTTTCGGAACCGTTACCCGCCGGGTACCCTGTATTTTTCAATTAAAAAAATAATTACTATTTTTTAATACCAAATTTATATTAGATTTACATCTTGAAAGCATGTCATCATCTTCATTCTTCATCTAAATTCTTCATATAGAATGATTTGTATTTTTTTAAATTGTGTGTTCAATTGGATTCATAGTATGTAATCGTTAAACTTTGAACATTTACTATTATAGTATGTAATTGTTAAACTTTGAACATTTTCTATTTGTCTATTATGGTTTGTAATCGTTAAACAATATTTGTAACCATTATTCTGTATAATTTGTATTTTTGCTTATTTATTTAGTGTTTTGGCAATGTTTTATTTTTTATTTCTAAATAACAAAATTTTAATATTTTAAAAAGCGGGTACCCGGAACCGGAACCGGTTCCCGGCGGTTCCGGTTCCGGTTCCAAAAATTTAAGAACCGCTCTAACCGGTTCCGGTTCCAATATCTCAAGAACCGCCGATTCCGATTCCGGTTCCGGTTCCTGTCAAAAAGGGCAGGTACCCGCCTATGCTCACCCCTACTTGACATCCACATCCACAGCTATTGAATTCCATATTGTCTAAATATCATTTACCTTTACAAAATAAGTGTGCTAGCACTTCTTGTGATTCATGTTCTGTTGGCAAATCGTCTAAACTCATTTGTTACCATCTACTTATAAAAGTTCGTACATTTTGGATTTAGTTTTCTGTGATGTATGGCCCCTGCTCCTGTTCCTTCTTTTGATGATCACAATTATTTTCTGTTGTGTGTTGATCATTACTCCAGATTTATGTGGATTTTTCATTAAAACTAAAATATGATGTTTATGCCACTTTTTAACGATTCCTTGCGATGGTTGAAAGATATTTTCAAACTAAAATGAAATATGTCCAGACCGACTGGGGAGGCGAGTTTCGGAATCTCTCCCAATTCTTCTCTCCTCTCGGCATCACTCATCGCCTCTCATGTCCACATACAAGCGAACAAAATGGCTTTGTTGAAAGACGACATCGACATGTTGTTGAAACCGGTCTTACTTTACTTGCTCAATCCCATGTTCCACAACTGTTTTGGCATTTTTCTTTTGACACCGCGATCTATCTTATTAATCGAATGCCATCCAGAACCAGCTCAAACACCTCCCCTTTGAACATGTGCTCAAGCACAAACCCGATTTTTCCTTTCTTAGGGTTTTTGGATGCCAATGCTACCCTCATCTCTGTCCATACAATAAACACAAAATGGACTTCCGCTCTACACTTTGTGTGTTCCTTGGTTACAGCACCGCTCATGGCTATCGGTGTTACGACCCACAGTCTGATCGTCTTTACGTGGCCCGTCATGTTCGATTTAATGAACAATTCTTTCCTTTCCAAACATCTCCTACAACCACTCCAAATCCTTAAGTCTCCACCTATCCCATATCTAACCTCCCACCAGAACTAACACCCTCAACAGCACCTACTGTGCAATCTGTCCCACAAGAAAACAACACCTACCACCACCCCTCCCAATGACCACCCCACGGCCCAACCACCCCTTATCCACACCTATCATCGCCGTTCCAAAGTCACCGAACCAGCCTACCCCTACCCCCCTACCACCGAACAACCCACCCGTACTCGACCACCCACCCTACGCCCCAATCCCAAACAAACCAAACCTTACAATGCCTCCTCATACCATACCCATCATCCTTCCCTTGACATTGAACCGACCACCTTTACCATTGCTATCAGGCACTCTCAGTGGCGTACTGCCATGGCTGACGAGTATTTGGCGCTGATGCGGAATGGTATTTGGACATTAGTACCACGCGTTCCAAATTCCAATGTAGTTGATTGCAAGTGGGTATACAAATTAAAAAGAGACCAAACAGGGGCAATAAAACGTTACAAGGCACGACTAGTAGCCAAAGGGTTTCGGCAGCAACCAAACATTGATTATCAGGAGACATTTAGTCTCGTGGTCAATTCGACCACCATACGTGTTGTTCTATCTCTGGCCGCAACACATAAATGGTCCCTAAGGCAACTTGATGTGCAAAATGTCTTCCTACATGGTGATCTCAACGAGACAGTTTATTTGCAACAACCACGAGGGTTCGTTGACCCGGACAAACCCGATCATGTTTGCCTACTTCACAAATCCTTATATGGATTAAAGCAGGCCCCTAGAGTGTGGTTTCATTGACTTTCTGCGGTCCTTCATTCTCTTGGCTTTCAGGGCTCCAAAACGGATCCTTCCTTGTTTATTTACTCCCACAGGGGCACCATTTTGTACATGCTAGTTTATGTTGATGACATTCTTTTGACAGGAAACAACCCGGAGGCTATTGACAAAGTGGTACAACGTCTTAGCCAATGCTATGCTGTTCAGGATATGGGTCGCTTGTCTTATTTTCTCGGTATTGAAGTAACCAGTCAGGGTCATGATATGATTTTATCACAAGGGAAATACATCCTTGAACTCTTGCAACGCGCAAGCCTGTCTAATGCTAAACCGACTTCATCTCCTATGACCACTAATGCTATTCTTGCTCTTGGTGATAGTGCTACGTTTGCTGATCCAGTCAAGTACCGCTAAATTGTGGGTGCCCTTCAGTATGTCACATTGTCTCGTCCGGATATTACTTTCGCAAGTCAACAAAGTCTGCCAATTTATGCACTCCCCCACTGAAAATCATTGGACGGCAGTCAAACGAATTCTTCGTTACTTGCAGGGCACTGCTGATTATGGTTTACGAATCATGCATGATTCAGGCACAATCCTTCATGCGTACACTGATTCTGCTTACAACTCCCTGACTGGCTTCTCTGATGCTGACTGGGTTGGTTGCCCCGACGACCGTCGATCTACTGGTGGATATGCTATCTATCTTGGTTCAAACCTAGTATCATTGTCTGCACGAAAACAAAGGACTGTCTCTCGGTCGTCAACAGAGTCTGAATACAAGGCTCTAGCCGATATTGTTGTTGGGCTCACATGGCTCCAAACACTGTTGCGCGAACACCGGGTTCCTGTGAAGTTGGTTCCTACTGTATGATGTGATAATCTTGGTGCTACGTATCTTTCAGCTAATCCTGTCTTTCATGCCCGTACCAAGCAAGTAGAAGTTGACTTTCACTTTGTTCGAGAAATGGTTGCGCAACGGAACCATTCAGTTCAGTTTATATCTACAGATGATCAGATTGCAAACGTGTTCACCAAGCCGCTACCTTCACAACTGTTTCTCCTATTACGGTCCTAGCTACAGGTCGCTCCCCGGCCTTAGCTTGCGGGGGAATATTAGACAATTAAGTGTGATATATATATATATATATATAATTATATTAGAGGGTCTAGACTGTAAATGTATCTCTTATATATATATCCTTGATTGTAATCGTAATTTACATATACAATACACAAAATTACCAAGTTAATCTGTACTTTTAAAGTTTGATTGAACCCCATATTTTTTAGGTTGTGATGGCTTTCTTTATTCATCAAAATGTTTTGCCATATGCATCTACTTTTTTACTTGGTGCCTAATTTTGATTTAAAAAATAGGGTTCTTTCTGTTGTGTTTTGTGTATTTGCCTCAAGTTTTGTTAAAGAATAAAAAATCAACAAAAATGATGCATTTTCTTTTAATACTTTCTGCTGGAAGGAAACTTTGAATTCACAAACAGGTTCTCAAATTTTCCATCTTTTTTTGAAGTATATAATATTTATATACAGCAAATTAACTCACCCACTCTCCTCACCAAAGGTTTGCACCTCTGATCTCCTGGAAAGTTGGGGCTTTACATACCGCTAGGCCAAAGGTCCTTTGGTAAATTTTCTACCATATAATCAAAGAAGCTGTGATATCGAGGAGGAATACTTGGTCTTTTATACCCTTTATCATGTTATGCATAATGATTTTGGGCCTTCGGGCAGCAAACTTCATGTGGTCCATGCTTATGCTCTTGAGATGCTTTTCATCATCCTTACAGCATTCTTGCTTGGAACCTTAACGAAACTGTACATTCGATTTGCAAGATATTGGAAGATCTTCAACAATGTCGAGCGTGGGCTAGAGTTGAAGACAATCATCTTCTTGTTCGTGTTTGGTTCCAACAGGCTCTGTATGTTCATGGATAGAAAATCTCCTACTTCTCGTTGCCGTTGTGGGAGTCACCACCCAAACCTTCCCATGAAATTCCACACCATCATCATGAAATGCGTTGATGGACAATCTTTGCCGGCTTCATGGTTGAGGAACTTGAGAATTCCCAAGGCGTGTTTTTTATGCAGTGTTATTCAGTAATGAAGTGGACCTCCTTGCAATAAGATGGCATGCGTTGTACCCTTATGTTAGAGAGTTTGTACTCCTCGAGTCAAATTCAACGTTCACAGGATTGCCTAAGCCACTGATCTTTCACAGTCTTCACTGCTCGTGCTTGCAGAAGGTGCAGATACACTTGTCATATTTTATGCCACATTCTTATCTTCTGGTATATATAAGATTGAATTTGTTTCTTTTTGTTGAAACTCTGCTACCACTTCCCAAAATTCCAATTGATAATAAACAATAGATTCTGGGATGCGATTGAGGAGTGAAGATCCGGCCGCCATGAACTTTTTTCTTAGCATTCAGAACAAGGTGACAGAACTGAAGGATGCTTTTTAAGATAACGAGGCAAAGTCGAAGTAAACGAGTATGTATTTCATTAATTATATTTATGAGAAGTAAAAGTGTATGCATCTCATTGATTCATATTTACTTCTTTTATCTTGGAAAGGTGTCCCAACCTCCCAGGCTATGCCTGGACTAATCCCATGCAAGAAATCAACCCTGATAAACTCAATGGCCACATTGTTGTGTACGTCTGAAATCGAACCCTAGCATGGGATATTCCACCGCATCCCCCTGGACCTCAACCACTACGCCACAACCCTTGTGGTTTACTTCTGTTTTTACTATCAATTGATTTTATCTTCCGTTGTAACCTCATTTGCTTCATGTGCGGCAGATGGAGTTCATGCTTGAAACCATGTTTGACATGAAGAACAGCAAAAATGGACTAAGCGGCTGTTTACCAAACGCTTACCAGAGGGTCAACACTCTCACTTGCCTTATGGGGTAATATTCCTTGCCATCAAAATGGATTGATGGTATGCGTTTATAATCCGGTAAGCACCTACCGGGTAAGAGTCATCATCCTCACTTACCGGGTAAGATTCTCGATCCTAGCCTTCTCTCTTATAGGGTAAAATGCTAGGTCCTTGTGTTCATCCTCTAAGTAATTGAAGCGGTAAGCAATTGCCAAAGTAAATGTTTGGTAAACGGCGCCTAAGTGGATACCTTACAGCATATCCGCATCAAGATGTGGCTTCAGAAGGTCATTATAATTCACTATTTTCTTATATTCCATTTGGATGGTCATAATCCTAAAACACTTCTTTTTTCATTTTGTTGTGCATTCCTAATTGGCTCATGGCATGCACTTATCTGTTGCTTCTACTTTTGTTTTAGGATATAACGATACTCCCTCCTTTCTATTTGAATTTCAAGCTTGGTATGGATATATATTAAATAAACCAAACTAAACGAACTCGGTATATCTCACTCGAAAGTAGGAATGCACGCAGACCTGTCGTCTACCCCAAATAGTAGAGTGGTTGTTTCTACGAATTTCAAACCCGAAAGTAAAAAATAAAAGGGTTTTGGTAAATGGAACTGCTCTTTTTGGTAGCTAAATATCTTCATCTTGCATACTTGTTTTGTCATGATATTGTAGGATAGAGAGATCATGTGAGTCCTTGTGGAGTGCTGCCAGCAGGAGAAAGTATTCAACAAGTACTTTTGTGTTCTGGCTTCAAAGTTATACATCCATGACAAGAACCACAAGTTCACCTTTCATTTTATATCTGCAACAATTCTCAAAACACTTAGAAATTAGAAATCAAGAACTAATTTGTACCTTTGTAATGTGTAGTAGATGAGTTTATTCATCAGTTTCCAAATTCGAATTTGATATCTTGAAGCATTCTCAAGTTCGTATAACATTAAAATTTTAAGCATCAATGTCAGATTACTTGAATATTTTTCATGGACCTCGACCATCAGAATGCATCTCTTTTAGCACATAGGTAAGGTCAGAAGTATCTCCCCTTTGCACGTTTTTCAGAAGCCAGAGATCTTCACGGAAACGACCACTCTCCTCATTTGATTTGGGTTGTAATGTCAGAAGTATTCAAACGCTAGTAGTTATCCCAAGACCTTTACCAAATTGAAAATGTTTAGAATGGATGTAATGCTGTTCAATTCAATTTTTGTTGGTAAACTCAGGGGTTGTTTGCTACCTCTTACCCTGTCAGAGCCCTCTTACGCTGTCCATTACGTTGACCAAGATGCTGACCTGCTAAGCTAAGGGAGGGACTCTTACCTCTGTCCGTAACCTTTTATCTAGTTAACATATACCCAATTTGTGTTGGTAATATAATCTCTCTTTTTCTCTTTCACGCGCATTTGGTACATGGGACGGGACAAGACAAGACGGAATAAAACTCACTGTCCCACGTTTGGCGTGACATAGGACAGGGGCAAGAACTGGGATAAAGTGGGGCAGCATGGGACAAAAAAGACTTTTTCTTGTTCTACCAAAATAGGTGTAACAAGATGGGACAAGAATGAGACATAAACTAAAATATTACTAATATACCCTAGTTTGATGTATAATCTTAATATGGTATTTGTTTTAATCGTCATCACCGCTAGTTTTGGCCTCCGCCGCCACCGGAGGTCACCAGTAGCAGTAGCAGTAGCAGTAGCAGTAGCAGTAGCAGTAGCAGTAGCAGTAGCAGTAGCAGTAGCAGTAGCAGTAGCAGTAGCAGTAGCCACCTCCACCTCCACCTCCTCCTCCTCTTCCACTACAACATCCTCCACCTCCTCCACAACGACCGTCCAGCATCGTCAATCGCAACCTCTACCATAGTTGACCACGGACCATCAATGTCCATTGCCATCACCACTACTGTCGTTCGCCACCTTTAACTCCTCTACTACAACCTCCTCCTTCACCACCTCCACAACCACCGTCGACCACCGACTACTACCGTCGACCACCGACTACTACCGTCCACTGCCACTTTTACAATCGCCGTCGGCCACCGACCGCCACCACCCATTACCACCAACACTACCACAGTTGGCCACCTCCAAGTCCTATACCGCAACAACCTCCTCCATGACCTCCGTTGACCACCGACCACCACCGTCCATTGCTACCCCTGTAACCATCATCAGCCACCGACCACCACTGCCCGTTGCCACCACAATTACCGTTATTGGCCACCTCCAACTCTTCTATTGCAACAACCTCCTCCACAATCTCCACAATTGCCGTCGACCATCGACACCACCGTCCATTGCCACCTCACCTCCACCATAACCACCACCACCACCACTATCTTCACTACATGAGCCACAACTACCTCCTCCACCGTTGTCAACCACCACCACCACTATTTATATGAAAATTGTGTAAAAATATTTATAAATTAAATTCTTTAATTATTTACTTTATTTGTTTTAGTTATAAATATTAGATAATATTTAAAATCATCAAATAAGTTTTGGGGGTAACTTGTCTAAGTTCTGTCACGTCCAGTTCTAGTTGTACCAGACAAAAGATATACACTTGTTCTATCCAGTCCTACCCTCTTGTCCTGTCTACTTTTGTCCAGTTTTGCGTTGTCCAGTCATGTCTACGTACCATACGCAACCTCAGTATTGCATATGGGATCACTGCACCGAACTGGAATCAATGCAGCTAATCAGATCGATGCACCTGGCAGAACTCATTGCAGAGATGGTGGTCACTTTTACGCTCTCCCTAGCAGTCTTGAAGAAGGTGGACACCTCAACCAGTTCTAGGAAAATGATGCATTTTAGTTTCTTTTTGGAGGCCGTTTTTGAGTACCCAAATAATGTCATTTAGAACATATTCAAGCATATAGTCGGTGCTGGCCATTACGAAGCCTTTCAAACGGGGATCGAGATTTTCCGTAGAGAGGTATGTTTATGGGCAAGTGAAAAACCTTTTGTAGGGAAACACAGAATTGCCAAGAAAGAGCCCTTTGAGTCGAAATGCTCCAACTTTAAGCTATCTTTTATGTGTTGAAATGGGTGCACAAAACCCTGTAGGCAGGGGTTTAATTGCTTTTAAGATAAGTAAGAGCATGATGTTCTTAAGATCCTCCATTTTCTACTTCTTCGTGTACATCAAAGCCAATCTAACAAAAATAGCAGTAAAACTTCATAGTGAATGTTTGCCAAATAAGTCTTATCTTCCCATTTTATATTTACAGATAGAGGTATAGATGGATACATCAGAGTAAGATTATAAGTCGTAGTTATCTGGTTGTAACGCATCTTTGCTTATGATTAACGAGAATTAACAGATTCCTTTTTTGTTGTTCTATTTCGTTTTTTCTATAATGAATATCTTCTTTTAGCAATTTAATTAATCACTTCTAGTTCTCTTTGTTCTATAATGTTATTCCTTTGTGTATTCTTTTAGCTAAGTACACGTGGTTTTTTAGCCATGAGTGGCTGAAGTCTTTAGCTTGGGTGTGAGACAAAAATGAGATAACAAACCAAATGGAAGTGGGCATTGTGATGTTCCATTATTTCATTTGAGTTTATAAAAAAAAGAAAATACTTCTTGACAAGTTAATCACTTGCTAAAATGTTAAAGCACAGTAGCCTAGAAGCAAGCCCCTTAGAACTCGTCAACTTGATTGACTTGGGATGTAGACTTGAGAGGATTACTTTAAACACAAATATTTGTACACTTCACCTAAAGTTTATGTCCTACATAGAGATATGGAGACTTGAAAAACAGGTTTAATGTTGTAAAGTAGGTGGCGGTTAATGTTGTAAAGGCTTGAGAGAGTATCTGTAAAGTAGGTGGCGGTTAACTATTATTTTTGAAATACTGATCGCCTGCTTGGAAATTATGTTTTTATCTAATCCGAATCTTATACCATTGCTTCATTTTACATTATGTCAAACACGCTTAGTTGTAAACTCACTATGAAACAACTTCAAC